TAATTGAGGGTTAGAGACACTGAGTGATGGCTGAGTGTCATGCACAATGGCGCTCATGCATCTTCTCAATTTCTTTGCAACATTAGCCCATTGAAATTCTCCATTTTCAGTTCGATTTTATTTTCAACTGTTGTCTTTCTCCTTATCGCGTATCATACTTTATGGCTACAGCATATCGCTGTATTCATAACATTACTCTTTTATACGTTTCAGCTTATATGCCAGTTGTTAGACGAATAAAGCCTTACATCTCCGGCTCTCAGTTTTCTCTCTCTCGAGCAACTACCGCCTGTTGTCATCTTGTATACAGAATAACACTCCTACTGTTCAACATATGGGCGGCCAAAAGTGCATGGTTAATGGTTGTACAAACTGAACTGAAATGAACTGTCTATGTGCCTCGGTGGGCGTTCTAAACGCACGACACAGCGACGGTTAGATTGCGATAAGTTGTCTCGACCAGCATGCTTAGCCGTCTTTCAGAACGCGCTAGCTAAAAAGCTAGAACCAACTCCACCTGATAACAATAACAATAATAAGCCGATGACATCACCTTGTTGGGTGACAATACACAGGCAGTACAAAAAGCTTTGAACCGCTTGGCGATAGGGGTATCCAGATGTGGTATGTGCTTTACACCATCAAAGGGCAAAGTGCTGGTACAAGACTGGCAGGAGCCTGTGTCTGCACTCACCATCCGTGGTGATCAGCTAGAAGTAGTCGAGAGCTTTAAGTACCTCGGGAGCTTAATCACAGCTGGAAGTGGGTTTGAGGAAGAGATCACATCACGAATTGCGAAAGCTAGAACAGCTTTCGCCAACCTGCAACACCTGTGGCGCCGCCGTGACATCCGACTGTCCCTAAAGGTAAGGGTGTACATTGCCGCGGTTCGTAGTGTTCTGTTTTACGGTTGCGAGACCTGGCCTCTCCTAGCGGAAGATGCCAGTGGACTTTCAGTATTCGACCACCGATACCTTCGAAGCATTGCCCGATCACGACATTGGCTTTAACCAATCATATTAAACAGTTGAATGGAGTATGAATAATTTCCTCAGTTTTTAGATATTGCGCCTCAAGATGGCGATACTATTGTCGGAAGCTGAAAATTTAACCAGTAAACGGAGCTTTAGAATTGGTAATATTAGTGTATTTATTGAATAATATTTTATTGCTGTACTATGAGATTGTTTTAATTGAATTGCTCACTGTTTTTGTTCTTTTTTCCAGCTTGCCATATTGTCAGCAATGAAATTCAATGTAGGAGTGCATTCGAGCTGCAGCTGATCAAGACCGGATTTGGACGAATCCCGTGCGCATGATGATCAATACATCCAGACAGGTAACAAATCAAGGTGGTAATCGCCCTTTCGTTTCCACCTCCGGGTTTGGCAATCCTACTACTCTGATGTCCAGTGTTCATAAAGCCGCTGATCCAGTTGCCACAGTAACAGCCACTGTCCGACCCACCAACGCGATTGCCGTGCCTACGACCACACCAGGACTATCTGTTGTATCTCCTACATGTATGCCCTTTTTCATTCCTCACGTGCCTTCCAGCATTCCTTCGCTCGGACCAATGGCCGTAAAGGTTGAAAATGCGATTCCAACAACAAGTGGCACAGCTGAAACGGAGAGCAGCTCTGCTTTTCATGCAATATTTCCACAAGATACATCTACGACGCCTCAATGCGTGCTATCGTTTCCTGATCCTCCAAAAGAAGCCTTTGTGAATCAGGGTCGAGCGGCATCTATTAATAGTAGTACGGATAACTATCCAGTGCTTTCAACAACTGTCACGAACACTACCGTTTCGACCGCCCCTCATGCGACTGTGCTTCCTCAACCAACGCAGCCCGTACCACCTGAAAGACAATCTTCCCAGAACGTTTCGTTGTCTGCAACGAATATCACAGATCACTCACGAGTAAAAACAAATCCGTTCGACGATGCTTCGGCTGTTGAGCGAACATCAAGTATTCTCAGTGACAACGAAGCATCGGAAGCTTTGTGGTGTGGGACGTGTGGCCATATTCACGATTTATCAGCTGCGCATACCTATGAGTACAGCGAATCCGTCGACTCAGACCTATTGTGTCGAGTAAGTGTTTTCATCTATCTCTAATTTCAGTGTTCTTTATTCAGTGCCGTCTGGATAACGTTAGACTTATCTTCTGGTTACTTTTTCATCCCCCAAATTAGTGCACGTGCTATGTTCAAGCCACAGACCAAGTAGTTCACTCACCAAAAATTTAGTGATTACCAATCTGATATTTTACTAATAGGCTTAGCATCAGTGTGATGGGTGTCCGTGTGCCCGGTTAACTCAAATCGAAATCATGATAAAATATTGAATTTTTACAGTTCATATGTGTCCGGATTTCGTGGTATTTCACTGCGTAAAAACCAAAGTTGATCAAGCAAGAATGTGGGAAGCAGCAACATCTGCTGAGGAGTAACAACACATTAATTAGTCACGATTTGAATATATTACTGATGGAAAATCTGCTGCCGTCGGGCTCAGCATATCTGTCCTAATGAGAACTTATGTGGTTCTTCCTTCCAAGTTCTAGTGCCCAGATGGCTGTTTACTGTAAGTGAACGGTAAGTCCTCGTGACTACGTGCTTTGTTGCCTCTGTTGGTCACTACACTGAGGCGTGTGATAAAACACTGAGTGATTTAATTCCTTTTTTCTTCTCGATAATCCGTGATTTCCCTTCCCCCATCACTAACTATAGCTCTGCAAAACTTAACATGTCTATTCTTTCTGTAAATGTTTCAAACTTTCTTCACTCATATCGATCATTTGTACCCTACTCTGTTTTATACTTCATTTTTACATTCGACGAGCATTGTCACGGATGTGACTGAAAGTATTTTGGGCAGAATGCTTTATTCTTATAAAACAACTGGTTTACTGGATTAGTTGAAAGGGTTAATTGTCACATGTTAGGTCCATCGTCTGATACTTACATACTGTTTGGAGAATTACACAAATTGCTCATCCACAGCCTTGATACTATCAATGTAAAACAAACGACCCTAACTTTCTACAAAGGTTTGTCTGAAATTTACAGCAGGTTAGGACAGACTTCTTTGTACGCCTCTAAATTTTCTTGTTTGCTGAATATTCACCCCTCAGAGTGCATAAAGCGATTCCTTGATTTGAATTGATTTGACTCATGCAGTTACTTTCTAACTTCGCTTTTTGCTCTGCACATCCCCCCTGTATAACGATCCCGTATCATTGTAATGCTTTGTGACGTATTGTAACGTTGAGTTGTACATACCCAAAGGTGCCACAGCCTCGAACAGAATGACGTCAACTTGGTCCCATCTGGAGACAAGCTCGCAAATTTTTATATTTATATTTAGTGGTACTCAAGGGGACGTACTGCCCGGTTATGGGAACCAACCGCAATAAAATAAACATCTTTCCGAACAAGACGGTGGTTTCTGTCTAAATGTCATGTTTGCTGTTATTGACACGTGCTGACATATCTTAGATTTTAAATCAATAATCGTTTGACCTTTTTGTCTATTTAAAATGTACCATTTCCATCCGAATTTCCCGACTGTTTAATTTTAATTTTTATTAATTATAGCTTTGTCGACAGCCTCTGGTGGATCCCTTGGATACTAAATGTGGACATACTTTTTGCTCTTCTTGTTTAAAAAACCATTTGGCTGTTCAAGCGTTGTGCCCGGAAGACAAACAGATCATTAACTATTTGGAGTGTCAACAGTCTTCGAATCTAGTGAAACGGTAAGTACTTCCCCATGGAACTTCACTACAACTTATACACACGAGGAAAGTCTTTCGGTATCGATACGAGTATTTGGGCGGATCCCTTTCGAAAGACAAACGATTAGTATGTGTAATTCATTGATTTAGCGAGGTTGACTTTAACATGGCACATCTGATTGTTACATGACAATTTAGTTCCGAGTGCTACCTTTCAATCTCCTTGACCCTTTTTTCCTTTTTATTTTTCCTCCCGTTTATTCAATACGTGAAGATATAATTTTCATGAAGGGGGGGAGGCCAGTCAAAGGGCTGCCATACAGCACGATGGAGGAGGCAGCTGGTAGCGGGTGGATCCGAACACACGTCCATGCTGATAATTTGGTGACGTTATCACTGCGCCGCCCCACCCCACCCTCAAGTAAAGCGTCAGTTTATGCATGACATGAATCATGTTGTGTATGATAAAGTACTTGTACCTCGTTATATTATATTGACCCTTTGGATAAAGGAAACTTAATACTTCACCACTGATTCCATCTCATTTTCCCAGTTAATCGCTTCTCACTTCTCTACTTATCTTCCCTCCCCTATTTTCGTCAGACTATTGGACAAATTGTTAGTAGTTTGTCCGAATTCGGAGCATTGCCGTGAAGTTTTGGCTCGCTGTGATCTCGAATCTCATCTTGCTTATTGGTGTCGTGGTGCCGTGGTCGCCTGTGTGAATAACAAACTGGGATGCCCTTATCTGGGACTACGCGCAAAACAACCGGCTCATCGATGGAGCTGCCAGTTCCAGCCCTCTGTACCTCGGACCACCACCATCAACAACAACTCGATTACCAATGCACCACTTGTGGGCGAAAAATCTGCTTCTTTTGGCTCATGCAAAAGCACATCTGGTCCAAGATCCGGTGATTCCGGTGAACCGAAACAACCGGATAGCGAGTCGGGTGTAAAATCCGTGGATCCAAGTAAATGGGTGGTGCTTTTTGTGCTGTCCTTACTTTCTGGTTGGCGATAATCCGCTGTTTACAATGCACATACACGCACACCCATTCTCATATTCACCTTTTGCACTGCGATTTAGGATTGCATTTTTTGCTAAACCCTCGAATGTTTTAGGCAACGAAATATAAGTAAAGGAATGCCTTGTGGCATACAAAGTCAAAGTTTTATTATGGAAGATGTTTACAAGCCGTTGTTTTTTGTCCGATACAATCGCTCGAATGGAAATACCAATGTTTTTAGTTTTCGCGACTGTAATGAATGTCCACTGGTCGTCTATAGCAAATTTATCTTTAAGACGTGCTTAGTTTGTCCTTAACCATATTTGCCATGCATACCTGTCTGGTGTTTGGCATTTTTACGATAAACCAGTTCTACGCCCGTGTGACTAGCCTAACAGGTGCTGGTCGCGATTGTAGCTGCAATGAAAGGATCTGTTTTCGCTATCGGCTCAGAGATCACAAAGCAGTGGATTTGGCGTTTAACACGTAATCTTCACTTTTCAACTCTTCGATTGCTCTTAATAAGCACACAGATTTGCGCACACGTGGCGTGGTCGGTAGGGATTAGAAAAGGTTGCCCTTATGGCCTCTACTGTACTGTACCGTTTACACACGTATTCATCCATGGTTGTGCTTTGCTTTTTGCTGTTATTCGACTAGCTCCTGCGGGATGATGAGTCGGCTTATGTCTCTAATGATGAAAGCCTATGCGTGACGATCCGAAGCAAGGTTGGAACAGTGTGATACCCAGTTCTGTTTCCAGTTACG